TTTTAAAGTAAAACATTTACCGCTAATGCCATTATTCAAAAGTTTGTACCAAAGCCCATTTCTCCACACAGTATCGAATGCCTGTTTGAAATCAATAAAAGCACAAAAAAGTTTCTTTTTGAGAGACATCACCATGTTTGTAAGAAAATGTAAACTAAGTATATTGTCCAAAGTAGAATAACCTTTCCAAAAGCCAGTTTGACTTTCGCTAATAAGATTAAAGTTCTCTACATAACTTTCCAAGCGTTTACATAAAATGAGGTAAAAAGCTTACCAAGGTAACTTAAAAGTGTAATTGGACGATAATTTTCTGGATTTGTTGGGTCACCTTTCTTTTTAAAAATCGGTTTGACAATACCCGTGAGCCATTCGTCTGAAATGATTCCACTATCAAAAATCAAATTAAACAATTTCTTATATACACTGTACAGACAAAAATATAGCTATTGTTGATGAAATATGTTCGTTTAACAACTGGTCGTAGCCTGCGGCCTTATTATTTTTCAATTTTTTAACTGCACATAAAATTTCTTCTTCACTAATCTCAAAATGCAAAAAATTCAAATCATGGCTCTACAATTAAGGAGGCCTCCACGTGACTGGAGCTGGGAACATAAGGAAACTATGAATATTTTCCAGGTAATACTAATTTAAAAGGTCTTTGTTAATTTATCATTATTAATATTAGTATCAAAATTATCAAATTCATATTTTCCTTATTTTCCTTATGTGTGTGCTAACGTCCTTAAAATGAAAATTTGTATTTAAAGCATATTACCATTTCATATCAACATTATTTTAAAAAAAAGATTATATTACAAAATCATTTATTTTACAATTTGATAATGAAAGTCAAGAACAATTGAGCATAGTCAAAGTTCAGTGTATATATACACATGCCCTGCCAGAGGGGGGTTGGTCAGACTAGCTGAGTACAGGTGTTTGATCAAAAGAAGTTTATTGTCAACTTGACCAAGTGTCAACAGCTGTGTATATATTGCATGTACGCACACAGGGGTGCCTCTCTATCCCAGTACATAACAACACAGCTAGCTGATGTGTAAATAATATTCTCACCATATTCTCATAATACCCACTTTACAAGTGTTTGCATATGCAATTATGCACATTTTATTCATTTTTATGTAACCTGTTTATTTCCTGGACCTGGATTCTAATAATTTCATTCTAATGGATACATATTGCTTTCTAATATCAATGAGTATAATTTGTTCTATTACATGAACAAAAAAAAAATGATAAAAAAACCTCCCCCAAATAAAACAGAACCAAGAAAAAATTACAACAAGTAACTGGAAAATAATAATGAATGCATGAATACTGAATTTCAAATATAAATAAACAATTGGAAGAAAAAGAAACCAAAACAAATATCTTTGAAATTAAATAAATTAACAACGTCAACTTAAATCACTTTATTCATTAATTTATTTAACTTAATTTTATATTATAAATGATTGGAATTTTAAAAAAAGAACTTTATTAATTATTAATTGCCTAGTTAAATTCATTTAAAACACCCAATCAATTAGTATTTTCACTGTTACATAATCTCTATCAACAGGTTAAATCTCAATGTTTTTATGTAACAGTACACATCATCTATACAAATATTTTCATATTTTCAATAATGATTTTCGATATAAAATTCTTTTTGGTAGGTACAAACCAGTGTGGATAAAAGTATTCAAGTAGGCCATGAAATATGTTCATATTAATATTTTATTTCATTTAGGAAATATGTAAATATTTAATGCTTCATTTATATTCTTAACTTTATATTCATATATATTTTTTTAGAATAAAAATCATATATTATATTATTCACTTTTGATCAAGATAATGGTAATGATTTTCACGTAAACGACTTCAACGATCGCGATTTTAGATCGGGCGTGGTGTACGGTATATGAAGACAAGAAGAAATGGCGCCCGATTTCTGTCGACTCTGAGGTAAAATTGGCTATAAAAATTTACGGTTATCAATATCATTCATTTAAACATCACCTTAGGGTTTTATATACCCCATTTCATTCAATTTTATGGGGCTTCTACCACTTTATTGGGGCTTCTACCCTTCTGTATGGGTATTCTCCAAAAAACATGGGGCTTCTGGAATTTCCAGTTACCGATCTTTCTGCCCAACTCCAAAATATCCAGACCAATCAACTATCTTAAGAGACATTTTTATTTTCAACCGCCGCCTCAGACTAAATGTACACTTTAAAAATCAAACTGATAACATCAATCCAAATCCATTTCATATTCCATCAGGATGGACCCCTCCAAGTGGCAAAAACATTTTCTTAGACTCATTCATCAACATACTAACCCACCAATGCACTCAAACGAATGAAAAACGGATCCCCTACCGCAACCTCACTAATGAAGAATTTCAAGCTTTATCCAACCTCAAAAATAATCAAAACATCATCATAAAACCCGCGGACAAAAGTGCAGCAATAGTCATTTTAAATCGTGAAGATTATATCTCAGAAGCTCACAGACAACTAAACAACCAAGAAAACTACACACTGTTGGAAACGGATATCACTCCAAAAATTATTAAAACCATAAATGAGTTCGTATAAAGAGTCAAACATTGGATACCACCCGAAATACTCAGATACAACAAACTTCAAATCAACCAGATACGTACACCAATCTTCTATATGCTTCCAAAAATATAATCTCAGCGAGATGGGTAGAGACTGAAAATTTGGACTGACGTCTACTACCCATCTCAGACAGGTGCTGTACAACGTGACTCGGGGTTTTTTGCTCCGATTTCGGCAGCTCGTTTCAATAAATACAGGCTGAAATAAATTAGCTGTCCGCCTCAACTTTTTCCCTTGAACATCCCTTAAAGTGTCTATCACTATAAAACTTTCCTTTCTTACCTTTAAAATGTTTAAATCCAGTAAAATATAAAGTTGTTTATTTTTCCTGACAGCATAATGGCTGTTTGCTATTCATTTAAACCTTCTCTGCTGAAGAGTTCCACAATAATCTGTTTCCAATAATTCATACCATAGATCATTCTTATAAGAAATAGTAGTAGTACGAATTATTGGAAACAGATTATTGTGGAACTCTTCAGCAGAGAAGGTTTAAATGAATAGCAAACAGCCATTATGCTGTCAGGAAAAATAAACAACTTTATATTTTACTGGATTTAAACATTTTAAAGGTAAGAAAGGAAAGTTTTATAGTGATAGACACTTTAAGGGATGTTCAAAGGAAAAAGTTGAGGCGGGCAGCTAATTTATTTCAGCCTGTATTTATTGAAACGAGCTGCCGAAATCGGAGCCAAAAACCCCGAGTCACGTTGTACAGCACCTGTCTGAGATGGGTAGTAGACGTCAGTCCAAATTTTCAGTCTCTACCCATCTCGCTGAGATTACCAAAAATACACAAAGCTGGCAATCCAGGCCGACCCATAGTATCCGCAGTTGGCGGACCAACCGAAAAATTATCAGCCACAGTCGATTTTTTCCTTAAACCACTCGCTCAAAACGTAAATTCATACATAAAAGACACAAATGATTTCCTACTAAAACTCCAGAATTTAAAAAAAGTACCAAGAAACAGCATTTTAGTCACAGCAGATGTCTCTTCTCTCTACACGTCTATCCCACATCGCGATGGCATATTAGCATGCAAGGAAACACTGGACACAAGAGAAAATCCCACAGTACCCGCATGGATTATACTCCGCTTCCTACACCTCATTTTAACTAAAACATGCTTCGAATTCAATGGTAACTACTATTTACAAACCCAGGGAACAAGTATGGGAACAAAATGCGCACCAAACTATGCAATTATATTTATGGACCACCTAGAAACTGAATTTCTCCGACAATCAGAAGTGAAACCGTTAATTTGGTGGAGATACATAGATGATATTTTCTTTATTTGGACGAAAAGTAGCGAGGATCTGCATGCCTTCATGTCCCGTCTAAACGAATTCCATCGTACAATCAAATTCACCTATGAACATTCTACAGAAAAAATCAATTTCCTTGATACTAACGTGCGGATTAATAACCTAGGTGAACTATCTACCACCTTATACACGAAACCCACTGCTGCCCACTTATATTTACACTATAACTCTAACCACCCGAAACACATTTTGAGGAGTATACCATGCAGCCAAGCATTAAGGATCAGACGAATATGCTCATCGGACAACGATTTTGAAGCACACGCAACAATAATGAAGGAACATTTTTTAGCCAGAAGCTATCCATCATCAATGCTTGAACAAGCTATAGATAAAGCCAGAAAGCACAACCGCAACAATCTGCTCACTAAGAATAAAAATAAAACACACAAAAACGCGTAATTCCACTAGTTACAACAGTCAACAGACTTAATCCAGAATTTAGATCAATTATCAACAAATACAAGACGATCTAAGAACAATCCCCAGATACAAAAGAATTGATGGAGAGAATAATCATAGCATATAAAAGACCTCCAAATTTAAGAAGTATCCTAGTCCATTCAAAGTTAAACACCAGTCCTGAAAATATCGGAAGCCACCCATGTTATGAGAATTGTAAAATTTGCCCTTTTGTCAGTAATACTAATAACATCCGAATTTCTTCCACTGGCAAAACTTGTTCCATAAAACAAAATCTTGATTGCAACAGGACTGCCGTCATTTATGCAATTACATGTAAAAAATGTTTTATTCAATACATTGGCCAAACAGGAAACTCCCTCAGAGAAAGGATGTATGAACATTTCGCCGATATGAAAGTCGCCAATCAACATAAACCTGTGTCTCGTCACTTTACGTCACAAACTAATACGTCACAATCAGACAAGTTTACAATTACACACACCAGATGATGTTTCCATCACGTCGCTCGTGAAAATCAAAAACAATATAAATCAACGTCTACGAACGGAGGAAGCCTTTATACATACATTTAAAACTCTACATTCACAAGGATTGAATCAAAAATATGGCTAATGTTAAATATACCAAGAGAAAACAGATGGATAATCCAAAGGAATCGGAAACAAACAAAATGGACTTCCAGTGTACTACATGCAACCGTAAATTCAAACAAGCTAGCAACCTCAAGAGGCATAATGAACTTCAACATAATCCGATCGTAACCAGATACTACTGTGATATTTGTAAAAAATCTTACTGTCGTAAAGATGTTGTTCAACACCATATCGCTAAAGAGCACCCAGATACGGAATTTAAAGAAACTTTAATATTCACCTGCACCAGTCCCAGAGAAATGGCCGAAAAACCAAAAGAATGGGAACGCCCGTTTTAAAGCCGACCAAGAACCATGAAAAATCCAATCTTCAGAATATTACCAGCCAACAAACCATACGAACCCACGCAATCAACATCCACAGAAACCGTATGTCAAAATGAACTTCCACCAGGATTACAGAACAGATCGATCACAGTACACGGAATTTATGGACTATTTAATTAATTACCTTAAAAAATATTCCATGCATTATATTGTAAATCATACTTAAGTTTTTATTGACGATGTCAAAGTGTTAAAGAAGTTATATAATAATGTAAATGTAATCCGCATACTGGGCAAATCTTCCGCATTTTCATAGCAACGTCATCCGCATACTATATAAATCTTCCGCATTTCTAAGTGTTTATAGTAACGTCATCCGCATTTTTGACTTCATCAAAGAATATTTTTGTATAATTGTTCTGATGACGACCGTCTCTGGTCGAAACCGGTCAACCAAATAAATTTACATGTGCATTCTTAAGAAGTGTTGGTGATCTGTTTGTTCTAATTAAGTTATTTGAATGAATGTTTGAGTTCAAAAACTGCTCGTTATCTCTATGTATTTGAGTCGCCTGCGTGGCGCAGTTTTTAGAGCGTCTGCTCCAGAGTCGAAAAGTAAGGAGTTGATCCTTACGTCGCGGTGTGGAATCCCACTGTGGAACGTGGAGACCGGTCCGTCGGACGAGACCGTATAAAACGAGGCCCCGTGTTACTGTGTAAAAATGAAGTTGTTGAATTAATAGTAACACGTATATACTTTTTAGTGGTCTGTCTTGATGGTATTCATATTGTGCATTCTTGAGGATCAACTACATCAACACTTCATCAAGATGTTAGCGGAATATTACTACAACATAAATAAAGTTGACGATGTAAAAGCTAATGCCACCTTGCTTATTAATTGGACCTCAATTTTTCCAGTAAGTAAAAATTCCAAAAATGGAGAACATTTTGTGGTGTCATTAGAAGAACACTTTAAAATGATAGAAAACCAAGGTCTAATTGACCTAAAAATGTTAATGTCGAAATTCTTATATTTTTTATTGCTTATCCATGAATAATACCATATAACAGAATTTTTGACATTATTAATGACGGTGGTGAGATTGCTAAAATGAATATTCCTAGCCTAAAAATTGATTAGTTTTATATGCAACAGCATCTTTTGTGAGCATTTTATATTCGCTTAAATTATGTATCGCTGAAAATAAAATACTAATTTTTTTCAAGGACAAATCGCTAAAATTTCGTCTTACTAAAATTTACACTCATACGGTATGACCGTTTCCTGGTTAAGTGATTTCTGTTTTTGATGACGCACATAGCATCATTCAAATAGGAAGGTGTCAGTTACACATTAAATAATATGAGATTTCTTGTCCTTTTATTACGGTTTACGTGAAGATGATCATAATATTTTACCCTAATTTTTTTCTGAAGTAAGGAGTCGTATTGGCTTATTATGTGATAAACAATAAGAAAGAAGAAGACACGTTTTCTTGCAACAAGTAAAATGCCACTTACATAAGTATTTTTTTAATTTCGTTATTGTGAGTAATTTATAATATATATAATTATAATTTTTCCTTTAGTCATTAGATTGTATATGACATATGCACAATCTTATGATCTTAAAATTGCGGCAGGAACATTTTCTTTAATAAAAAGTGATCTATCTTATGAACCTTAACTAGACGTCCAAGTCCATAGGCCATGAATAAGTTTGAAATAAGTCCATAGATCATAAATTAGAATGAAATAGTGTTTTTTAATCTAAAAAGGAATTATGAGTTATTTATCTGCGAATTTCATGTCGTTCTAGACATCTGAATCTATCTCTTGTATTTCTATGAATATCTAAATACATGTATGAAACAAATGTGTCAGACTCTGTAGCATCTTTTATTTCAAGCTCACTAGGATATATCGATATTGTATGATGATATATGTTTGCCTCTTGTTTATGTCGACTTGTCAGATATTTTTGTCTGATAAAAAATCATTACGACCAGTAACTGAATAACCTTGCTATTAAAGCATGTTAGGACTTTAACTGACATCTACTTGTCATCATAATATCTCATGCACTGACAAGTCGGCATAATTTTTTCTGGAAAGAATATATTTTTTCTAACAAGTAGATATACAGCATTGGTGATCTTTCTAACAAGTAGATATAATATTCTGACAAATCCACATAATTTTCTGACAACCCAGTTTATCAAATGTTATGTCGTCTTGTTAGAAAAATACATTGACAACAGATTGCTTATATTGGATATGGACATTTTCATGCTGAATTTTTAAACACGTGTATAAGTGAACAGTCAACAAAAATTTCTGAAAAGTTGACAAGTGAGGGCAGAAATATGCCACCATATCTATTTACAGTATGTTGTAAACGTGTGGTATAGAATACATACGTAATATTAGACTTTTGTCCATATTTGGAACAATCACTGCTTTAACGTAAAAAGATAAGTACCATCATACCTTTATATAGGTATGCATTATTCTAATACATGTATATACTTGAATATTTTGTTGACATTTATGAATTTTGAAGAATTAATAATTACATATTAATTTGTATGACGAAGATACATGTATTAAGATTATTGTATAATATAAACAACAGTGGTTTTTTTTAAATTTGTGTTTATTAAAGGATCGCAGTTTGAGATCTCACGTCACGTTCCTTTAACAGCTGTTCTGATAACTTCATAATTTACAACAAATTAAATATAAATTAGCATTTTTGTAATTGCTTAAGTGTATTAAAAATAGATAAATGGATAATTTTATTTAAAAAGTAATATATTATTGGTTTCCGATAGAATGCATGGAGATAACAAACAGTTCTCCAGATCAAAAGTCCATAAAACAATACAAAATAGGAGACGAGCAAAAGTGGACCTCCAAAACATCACAGGTGGGATCAGGTGCCATTGAGGAGTGAGTATCCCCTGCCGACCTGTCACACCCGCCGTGTGAACCTTGTCATGATCGGGAAATAACGGGAAAATCCGTCGTCAATTCATTGTATAAAAAATGGACTAATAATTAGAATGAAAAACGTCAGTCAGCATTTAACTCAATCTGATTAAAATCAGATCCTTTGATCCGCTCACATAGATCGCTACGATGTTCGTGAGCGGATCAAAGAATCTAATTTTAATCAGATTGCATTTGACTCAATGATGAATTGTATTTGCTGACAAGGTCATTGTATCGGTCAAAGAACTTACGAAAAGATGACTTTAAACGAGCCTGCTGAATTTTTTGTTTCATCAACTTAAGCTTGTTTGTCAATAATTTACCTTGTTGTAGACATTGTTCATACATAGAGCATGCTCTTGCGTATCTAATCAACTGAGAAATGTAAACTCCTTAAGCAGGTGATGAACGTATTATTGCTGCATAAATAAGGGAAGTTGACTATAAAAAAGTTAAAGTCATCACATTTATCATAGAGCTTAATTGTTAGATTACCAATAACGTCTTTTTCAAGTAAAAATATCCAAATATGAAACAGATGTGTCATACTCTGTGGTATCTTTTATCTTATGCTCCCCAGGATATATCGTATCAACATAGGAATGGAAATTACAATTGTTAATTGACAGTTCGTCGGCGATATAGCGAATTGTCGTTTTGAAGGCCACAGCAAGTGTTTTCTTCTTTTCACGCATAAGATTTTGCACAACTTCTGACCTCTAATCTGCACATGGAAAATTGACCCTATTGGCGTGCAATGTAAATTTACCATTGAATAACCATCAATACTTATCTTAGTGCTTCAGTTGAATTATCTTTTAGCATTTAACATGTTTATGTCTCCGTATTTCTATGTCGACACGATCAATCCCGATGAGCTTGAAATAAAAAATGCCATAGAGTCTGACACGTCTATTTCACATTTTGATACTTTATGGTTATCTAACAACCAAGCTTTATGATAAACGTGATGACTTTAACTTTTCTTTTCAATCGTCAAATTCCAACACATACAACATAGCTTTTTATCTATAGGTAAAGGAGCTTGTGATATTTAATATATACTCAATAGTTATGATTAAATTACAAAGATTAAAATTACATGTGTGACTAAGATACAACTTATTATATATAATTTTTTGGTTTTTTGTCTTACTTGTGAACATTTTAGATAGGGAATTAATTGAATAATATTTGGACGTAAGAAAAAGAAGAAAAGAATGGAATGACCTAACACAAAAAATATTCAGCTTTGTTTTTTAAAAGTGAGCGAATTTATGAATCGGAAAAACATACTCATAATATTGCCTACAAGAGGTACCGTTAGATCTATGCATGAAAATGGAGTTGTCTTTCTTCATTCGTAATTATGCAAAAGGAAAAGGATAATATACATTATATACAATTATGGTAAATACAGTATCAAGAATAAAAGAAAAATACTTGCTTAATAAAGATATACCATGCTTAAAATTAAGCGGGGAAGTACATAAAATCTTAGAAATAATCCCAAAGCGAACGACTCAAAATCGACGGCGTAAATCGAAGGTTTTTATAACCTTTGGATCTAGAGCTCTCTAGTTTATTTATCTGTCCAAATTTTCTCAACAGTGATACAATTCTGCAGGTATTTTTCCCGATGGAGAACGTTATCTTTCAAATCAGTTCAAATTTCTTTACTACTTCCGTTTCCTTTTCATTTTTTCAGCTTCTGTCTAACTGGTGTCCGTCACAGTACTCGGTAGTTCATTCAGTAGAGTGCTCGCTCCGTGATCGGTAGGTCGAGGGTTCGACCCCAGCCGCAGCTGACTCAAGTAAAAAAAAATATAGGTAGCAACTGTTCCTTTACCTAGCGCTCGGCAATTTGAAGTGAAAAGTTGAGGGTCCTTCAGTTGAGACCTTAAAAACCGATATAATCAATCAAACAACTGACTAACAGGTAACTGAATCTATACCTTAAGGGCAAACAGGGGTGGTCATATTTCCATTAATCCTAGTAAAGAAGACAAGATCAT